CCACTTCTCCGGCCCTGGCGCCCTCCCCTCTCTCCCGGGACTGGCGTCTTGCTAGCTCCCTGCAACTGGAGCACGCAGGCAGATTTGGCAAGCCGGAGGCCCCAGCGGGAGGAACACTACATTCCACTCCTCAAAAGGGCGGGTTCCCTGGTATGGGAGAGAGACCTGGGCCCGCCAGAGGGACCCCAGATGGGGGAGGGGGTGACAGGCCAATGGGGGAAACCCAGGCCCACGAAGGGGCCCCACTGGGGCATGGGAGATGATCCCGTAGAGGCCCAAGGCTGGAGCAGCCGAGGGGGAGGCAGGAGAGAGGAAAAGGGAAAAGTAGGAACCAAGAAGAGGAAGAAGGGACCTGACCCAGAGGCCCTGGCGTCGGAGAAGTCAGGGAAGACAAAAAAATGGAATGGCCAGGCCAGGCGCGGTGGCTCACGCCTGTAATCCCAGCACTTTGGGAGGCTGAGGCAGGCGGATCGCGAGGTCGGGAGATCGAGACAGACCATCCTGGCCAACATGGTGAAACCCCGTCTCTACTAAAAATACAAAAAATTAGCCGGGCGTGGTGGCACGCGCCTGTAGTCCCAGCTGCTCGGGAGGCTAAGGCAGGGGATTCCCTTGAACCCGGGAGGCGGAGGTTGCAGTGAGCCGAGATCGCGCCATTGCCCTCCAGCCTGACGACAAAGTGAGACTCCATCAAAAGAAAAGAAAAGAAGGAAGAAAGGAAATAAAGAGAGAAAGAAAATGGAGTGGCCAAAGAACAGCATGCCTGGCACTCGGTTCCACCTGCTGGATGGAGCTTCCCACACTCTCTCTGGAAGCCCTTTATATACCCTGTGCGCCTGGAAAACAAGGACTCAGCAAACGCATCCCAGGCGTAGTATGGGGCCTCGCAGCAGCCGGGAGGCGCTCCATTACGCGGAAGGAGAAGATTCGGATGCGTGCGTGGGAAGCGGGGAGAAGAAAGAACAGACACAGTGAGGAGGTACCAGGAAGGACCGTCATGAAGAGCCAAGTATTCACGGAGCACCATTGTGCGCCTTCATTGTGCTGGAGACCCAGGAGTGGCCTAAAGGGGAAGAGCCTGGAGCAATCAGGTCTCAGCGCGGGGAGTTGCGCGAGACAGAAGGCGAAGGCCACAGGGCGATGGCTGTGGCAAGGAAGAGGGGCAGCTGGAGTCTTTCAGACTCTCTGGAGCTTTGGGACAGAGCCTGAGCCCTGGATTGGGTTGGCATTGACATGGGGAACCAGTGCTAGGTCTGAGGAACCACGGTGAGGCTTGGGCCCCAACCGGATCGGGGCGGGGAGTCAGAGGTGACTGTCCGCTTCCAGGCTGGGTGTCTGGGACGGGGATCTTCCCTGGCAAAGGCTAGGGCGAGGTGGATTGAAAGGGCCCAAGGTCACTAGCTCCGATCTGCACTTAGGGTTTGGGTGGTGGTGGGACAAAAGAGGAGAATTTGGAAGCCAGAGCAGAAAGCTGCTGCTGGAGCGGGAGGGGACTGGCGGGCTGCGGGGCTCTCGGGGAATCTCTCACGCGCTGCCCCGCCCGCCTTAGCACTCCTGGCAGACTGAAGCTCCGAACTTCCGGCCCAGCGCTGGGGGCACTTTTGCACGGAATCCTTGGTGTCTCACCTGTGTGCCCCATTTGGCCCTCCTGTCCCTAGATACTACCAGAACCTCACTGCGGCCTCCTCTTCCAAAACCCTGAACCTCAAAGCGTTGAACCAAGTGCTTCATTCAAGTCTCCCGGGACCCTTTGGTTCCTGTAATACCTGTCCCCTGTGGCTACAAGCCGTTCCTGGGCCTGAGCCTCCAGCCTCCTGTGGTGGGGTGTAGGTCAGTGTGTGTGTTGGTCTTGATGTGTGAGTAGATGTGTTAGTGTGTTCGTGTATATTGTCAGTGTGTGCCAGCTGTGTGTCTGTATGTCTGTGTGTCAATGTGTGTGTTGGCATGGGTTTACTTGTGTTTGATTTTGTGGTTGTGTCTGCCAGTGTGTGTGTCAGTGTATGTCAGCGTGTGCATGTTGATGCATTTGTCAGTGTGTGCTTCAGTGTGTCACTGTGTGTTTTGGCATGTGTTGGTGTGTCAGTGTATTTCAGTGTAAGTGTATGTGTGTCAATGTGTAGAGAGGTGTTAGCTCAGGCCGCGTACGGTGGCTCACACCTGTAATCCCAGCACTTTGGGAGGCCGAGGCAGGTGGATCATGAGGGAGACCATACTGGCTAACACAGTGAAACCCCATCCCTACCTACTAAAAATACAAAAAAAAAAAAAAATTAGCCAGGCATGGTGGCACGTACCTGTAATCCCAGCTACTCTGGAGGCTGAAGCAGGAGAATCAGTTGAACCCGGGAGAAGGAGGTTGTAGTGTGCCAAGATCACACCACTGCACTCGAGCATGGGTGACAGAGCGAAACTCTACCTCAAAAAAAAAAGAGGAAAAGAGAGGGGTTAGCTTGCTGTGTTCTAGCTTTACATACCTTATCTCACTCAGTGCAGTGGGCTAATGACTGAGAAGTGTGAATCTTAACATTCATTTCAATAAAGAGGTTTGGAAACTCTCTGGGATCATGCCTTTCAGTCTTTGTCCCTGGTCACTTTCCCAGGAACAGGGGAGATGGAAGGGCTGAGAAGGCAAGATGTCTCATGAGTGGTCAGTTCACGGCTTTTCTTCCTTGAGTGTCTGTCCTCGTTGATGAGTGAGGCCAAAAGATCCCCTTTATGAAGAGTCATCTGGGACTCCCAGGCGCTGCCATAAACATGTATGCGTTCATGTTTTATGTGTCCTTGCGTCGTCCCTTGGGCCCAGCATGGTGTCTGGCAGGTATTCAATCAATGTTTGCTGAGTAAAGGAATGAACAGAGGCATGTAAATGAGATGGCTTCAGTATTTCCATGTCCTTAAAGAAGCTGGAACAAACAGAAACTTCCCAGGGGGGAGTAGGTGACTATCATTAGCATGCCAATGTTTGTAGAGCGAGACTCCACTGGCTGGGAGCAGAAATGGCTACCCCTGCTAGATAGGAGTGGGCCCTAATGGGAGCCCAGCTTTCCAAAGGTCACTGACTGCTGGAGTGGGGGGTGCTAATACTGGATAGAAGAGCGGCAAGCAAGTCAGGGGCAGGAGGGAGAAAAGGGCACTGAAATGGAGCTAAGAGCTCAGGAAAGGGCTCTGTCCTGAAACTTTGGTTTTGTGACAGGAGAACAACAAAGAAGTCAGTCTTAAGTGGAGAAGCCCTGAGAAACATCTGAAAAGGAAGATCAGAAAGTTGAAGTAGGGGCTGGGCGCGGTGGCTCACACCTGTAATCCCAGCACTTTGGGAGGCCAAGGCAGGTGGATCACCTGAGGTCAGGGGTTTGAGACCAGCCTGGCCAACATGGTGAAACCCTGTCTCTACTAAAAATACAAAAATTAGCCAGGTGTAGTGGCAAGTGCCTGTAATCCCAGCTACTTGAGGCAGGAGAACTGCTTGAACCTGGGAGGTGGAGGTTGCATGAGC